CTTACCCAACTGCCCCCCCCCCACTTGCCTGCCTGGTCATAAGCAGCCATCTTGTGAAGGTGTGAGGGTTAATTTGCATATTACCTCTTTATTATAGAGGATTCTCTACACTTTAAAAAATCTTTAGGCTAAAATATCAGTGATGGAATTGAGTTGATGGGATGATAGATAGAAGAAGCAATTGAATCAAGCATACTTTTAGTTGGAAAGCTGCCATACTACAAAATAGTGGAGGTAAGTGACAAAGTTGTTAGCTACTTTAAAAATAAGGTCTTGAGAACTGTGGCTTGGTAATATAGCTTGATATCTTATATTGTGATTCCTCCAACTTTGTTCTTCTTTCTCAGGATTGCTGTGACTATTTGGGGTCTTTTTTTATTCTAGATGAATTTTTGGAGAGTTTGTTCTAGATCTGTGAAATATGCCGTTGGTATTTTAACGGGGATTGTATTGAAGGTATAAATTGCTTTGGGTAGTATGGACATTTTAATGATGTTGATTCTATAAATCCATGAACACAATATGTTCTTCCATTTGTTTATGTCTTCCTCTATCTTTTTTTCAATGTCCTGTAGTTTTCCAAGTACAGGTCTTTTACATCTTTAGTTAAGTTTATTCCTAGCTACCTTAATTTTTTTGGTGCAATGGTAAATGGGGTTGTTTTCTTTAGTTTCTCTTGCTGTGAGTTCCTTATTGGTATATAAGAAAGCCATAGATTTCTGGGTGTTAATTTTGTATCTTGCTACATTGCTGAATTCATTCATTTATTAAGTCTAGTAGGTTTTTGATGGAGTCTTTGGGGTTTTCTAAGAAACCATCAACAAAACAACAAGAAAGCCCACTGCATGAGAGAACATATTTGCCAATGCTATTTCAGATAAGGGTTTAAACTTCAAAATTTACAGGGAACTCATACAACTTAGCAAAAAAAAAAGATAAACAATCCAATAAAAAAAATAGGCAAAGGACCTAAATAGACACTTTTCAAAAGAGGACATACAGAAGGCCAAGAGACATATGAAGACATGCTCAAAGTCACTAATCATCCGAGAGATGCAAACCAAAACAACAATG